AGTAGTGCTCCCATTGAACACTTCAATTTCAAGAAGCCAGTGTCACAATGTCTAACTCTTGTGTTGTTGCGCCTGTATGGCCAAAAATAAAATATAGAGAGGCTAGCACCGATGTGCTCACAAGAAAAGCACTATAATACTCTCATATAGGTTTTCATGCATGTATGCATGAATTTTCTTTTGGATCATTACATGTCATTAATTGGTCTTTGATCATACAAGAATTAGGGTCTATATATAGGCAAAGTAGATAAAGGTTGCAATAAAATAAAAATAAAAATAAAGTAGATAAAGGTTGCGATCTTCTATATTTAGGTAAGCTTCTATTTATCATATTATTTTGATTATCATGATTTATTTGATGATGATGTATTTGGTAATCATGCTCCACAATTGCCTTCCCCATGGCCTTTTACTTTATCCTAATGACCAACTCAAACTTTCCCCAACCCTAGAAAATTATACATGTTAAAAATTAGATGAAGAGATAAATGTGAAGGAGATTACATAACTTAGGAAATGAGAGGCTATTTTTACTCCAATAATGCCTTATAAATATGGCTCATGGAGAGAAAATAAAGAGATGAGGCTCTTCATTTCTTATGCTAAAAAAAGATCAATCTAAAACCAAATCCATCTTCCTATCTTGACTACTCTTATGAGCAACCATGATGATAGTATACATAATAAGATAACATGTTAACCATATAGGATATTGAACCTCCCACACTCCCATGATAGGATAGTTCATATTTTGCAACAATTATTCTCTTTATAAATATTGACAATTGACCAAAATATTAGGTATGGGGGCACATTTAATGAGAGTGCCTTGAGAGGCTTATAAAAGGGAGGAAGATTGATTATAATAAGTCCTAGCATATTTTATTTTCTTTTAGAGAGAGTGACTATTAAACTAATTTGATCGTATAGGTCTTGGGTTTAGCTTTCCCTCTCTTTTTTCTTCTTCAAAGTACCACTATAATAGGAAAGTAGTGTAAATTCATAGTGGAAGTAAGTGAAACCATTGAACCAATACACTTTGTTATTTTTTAGTCACTCTCTATCTCTCCTTGTTGAACATAACTCTTCATTGATTAAAGTAAGCCAACTTAAAGACTCACTTTTATCCCCTGCTCCCTCCTTGAATTGCATGTGAGAAGATTTAGACATAAACCTCATGTGGGCTCATCACTATAGAAATTAAAAATCATGTATTACTGGCATGGAAGTTTATGGTGAATTTCAGGTGAAAATCTTTCAATGGTAAAACATGCATCTGAAAAATTTTCTGTTGAAAAAAACAGCAAGAAATATTTTTTGGAGAAATTTTTTCATCGAAAAAATTTTCCAATGACTGTTTGGCATAAAAAATTTGCTGAAATACTTAAGAAAAAAACAAATTTTAATCTACCAACTCGCCTGCTCAACCGCATGATGCTCGCCAGTAGCTTCCTAGCAGATTGCACTGTCTACTGATTGCATTATGCTCGCCTGCCTACCCACAGTTGCCCACCAGATTGCGCACTTTGCCCTCCCGTCTACCCTTATTGCCATCCCACAGGGTGACACTGGTGGGATTCTAACCCACAACCTACACACAATTCAGTTGGCCAACCGCTTTACCATAAAGGAAAATGTGTTAAAATGTCTAGTCTTTTATATTTAAATATAAAATATACTATTTTAAATATAATAATATAAAATTTAAAATTTCAAATAAATTATGCATGTTAATGATTTTTTCATGTTAATAACTACCACTTTTGAATAAATACATATAATATTTTAACCAAGGACTAAAATAAACTTCATTAAGTCTACAAATAAAGTTCTTTTATAATATATCTGTTAAATATTATCTTTTGATTAAAAAAATTTAATGAAGTTCCTTATCTGATATTTGTTGAACAATCATTATTTTTCAATATTTCATGTGTCTTACAAGTGATCATCATGAAAACATCCATAAAACGAGAAGCCATTCTTACGCGAGTTGCCCAAATTCTACTATGTTTTAGGCATTGTTTGGGATAGCTTTCTTACTACTTTTCAAAGCAACTTTCTAGTACAAAAATTACCTAAGTTTTTCACCCATTGCCATCTAAATATCATATAACATTCAAGAACCTAGCAATCAACACACAAGACTTTGTACCAACATTACTTGAAATGACCCATATAAAGCATTTTACATCTTCTCAATGCACATAAAGCATTTTGCATTGAAGTCTCTCCAACTACTCAGAGATGAATCATCTTATTTTCTTATTATGTGCTAGTGGATAAAAGACAAAACACTTCATCATATATTAAATAAGAATAATATATTTTTTTCTAGTTAAAATTGTTCTCATTTCATGACTAGGTAGCCCTACTCACATGGCTAGTGACCTCAATCCCAATTTGGTCCTCAAGTAGGTGAGCACTCCCCACTTATTTTATATCACTGCCTTCTATGATCTCACCCAAACATGTGTTGCTTAATTAACATAACCAAATGTATAAACTATATTTATCTTCTCTAACTGCTCACTTACTTGTCTTATCCAATCTCTACCTATCACACACTTGTATGCTTTGTTGCATAAAATTTAATGAATTATTGGGGGCTGAGGACTCAATGCCTATTTTTTTATTACATAAATTATCTATATTTTATTTTGTCACAGTGAGTATAATGAAGATGAGAAACTTTTAACAAATCGGGATTTTTAATTTTACTTTATCATGTTTTCTTTTTGTAAATAATGGAATAAAGTGTAAAATGAATGTGATACGTTTGAAATATTTGAAATTATTTGGATGTGTATGAAATAAATGGACGTGATGACCTTTTTTTTTATTTGAATTGAAGTAAAATGTGTTGTGTAAAGTCCAACTATAGTGGTGGCGTGATCGACGGTTGTGTGGGGTAGTGGGCGGCGATTAAGGCAGATTGCATCGGCCGCCACCTGTGACAGTGGTCGTGTCCACCAATAGACAGTTATAGCTATGGTTACAGGCGTCGATGGAGGCTACAATGAGTAATTAATGACGACAGTTGAGTCAACTTATGGTGTTTTTGAAATTTGGTAGAAAATAATGAATTTAGAATACATAAAAAAGGAAATACATGATAAATTTATAATTTACTAACATTTTACTTTAGAATTTACTAACATTTTACTTCACATTTCTTATTCATCATAACGAACACCTAAATTTTTAAAACTTCTAAATTTAGAATGCTCTGTATTCCTTTCAACAAGCCAAACAACCCTTAGCCTTATAAAAATATAAAGATACAAAAATATAAAAATATAAAGATACAAAAATATAAAAATATAAAATATAAAACCCAAGTCTTATCTTTTTGGAGTAGGTTTTCTTTTCTATGATCAATTTTTTTATTTACAACTTCATATTTTATTTTGTGATATGTATTTACTTTAAAAATTTATTATATATTTTCTTTTATTAAACCAAAGCCTAAATATATAGAGAATTGACAAAATATTAATTATATATATAAATAATTATTAAAATAATTACATATATTATATCAATTATCGATATAATATATAATGTTAAATTAATAATTTTCTATTTTATAAGTTTTTAAAAACTTAGCATCTTATATAAAATAAAAAATTAATTTTAAATATAATCTTCCATTTCTATCATATTACTGTGATGTCATCATTTCTGACTTCATTTGCCCAAATGTGAGAGCCACGATTCCATGCATGCATCAGACTGAAAAGGAAAAAAAATGATGACTTGTTTTTCAGAGAAGAAATAATTAGGTTAAAATGAATGGGCCGACGAACGAATCAAACGAGTCCAAAATCATTTAATTATGAGGTCATTAAAGAACTCATATATTTAAGTAATAAATTATGATCGAAGGGATTAACATAGACCGTTCAATGATGTATTTTAGATTTTAACAAAATTATCAAAATACCTCCCCAAAAAGCTATAAATTAGGAGAGATTATTATGTGCGGAGATCAGACACAGAGAACTGTTCGAATTTATCTCTGTGAATAGTAAAAGCATAATGGTGAACAGTAAAAGAGCAGTTCGCTGTGCTTTTACTGTTCACAAAGACAAACGGGATGATTCTTCCCAGCATTGGCCATTGATGACCGCCATCAATAATTATCACCAATATTACCTGCTTTTAGTCATTCAACTATTGTTGTCTAACTACTAAGTATTCGATTCCGTTATTGAACTTCGATTGTATGCCTATGAATACGCAACTTCTGTAACCACTAAAATGATAATCGAACATTTATTTTCAATTGCATAATCTCATCTTATTATACTTAGAACTATATGAAATTATATTTAATTTATACAAAATATTTACTAAAAAAATAAAAGCAAATAGTGTAATGAAATGAGTGATGAGCTCCCACAAAAAAACAAAAATAAAAAACCTTAAAAATTTTCTTATTACTATAAATAAAATATCAATTTAAATTAATCGAATTTTAGCCAAAAACAATGTGAAATCATCAATGGATTGAGAGTTTGAATGTAAATAAGATAAGCTCATTTATTTATTTTTCCGTAGAGTTACAATTGAATTTGAAAAATAAATTGAATTTCATTATTTTATTCAAATTTATCAATTAACTATTTTTTATCCAATAAATTTGATTACCAAATGTAATAAATCATAAATTTTCATCAAAATTAATCTCTCAATATTATTTTAATATTTGTAAATAATAATTCAAATTTTAATCTATTAATTTAATTATTTGGTCACAATTTTAATTTTATCTATATAATAATAAAATAACACAATAAATAATGAAATAATTAAGCAAAAAACTCATTTTAAATAAGTATTTAATCAAACACATTGAAGTACATAAGCTATCTTCATTTAAACGTTGAACATTTAAAAATTATTTATATTAAAAAAAATTAACTGCTCAACGAGCATAGAGAGCGCTAATTAATAGAAAGAATTTAAGAGAACAAAGCGAGAAGAGCACAAATTAGGAAAGAAGACATTGGGAGCTGAAGAGAGTTCTTTTTAAGTAAGACTGTAACTCTGACACAATAATTAGCTCTAAACATTTACTGCAGAGAGTCTGATGCAGTAACAAAAATCAGACAAGTTGGTATTAATGCCCGTTGCTTTCACAAACAGCAAAATTAAATACAGACAGAATCATTCACCATCATGAATTCTTAGCTTTGTTCTTCATCGCCATGTTTTTTTTTTTTTTTTTTCCTTTAAAATTTTCTTTAATCTATGCATTGAAACCGCCATGAAAGCTCTGAAACCAAGCTTTAAGACAAATCTCCAACAACAAATCAATGAATTTAATTCTTCTACTCATTTTCATCCCCCTCCATTTCCTCGACTTGATTACAACTATAGGAAGAACTTGAAGAACATGAGAGAGGACAACTTTCGAATGGAGAAGAAGAAAAGGAAGAAGAAGAAGCCAAGCTCACAACTAAATCCAAGAACGCGCTAATTATAAAGCCATGGTTACCTTTACCATTAGCTCTCAAAAACCAGCCAAGCATTTCCTGCATCCAAGCCCAATCTATCAGTACTCCATGAGCTTCCACCATCTCTTCCATGGACACTCTGAAGTCTCCCAATGGGTCTGTTGAGTCGACGGCCACCGCCACCCCACAGTCGAATGCCGGCGTCGTCTCACGACAGTCATCTTTGCCTTCCGTTTCTACAAGCAACGAGCTCGTGCCGCCGGATTCGAAGAAGAGGCGGTCAGAGCTTAGCCCGCGCATAACAATCTCCTCTTCCTCCTCCTCCTCGTCCTCCTCCATCATTGATGAGTTTAGCTTCAAGGGAGGCGCCCATGGAGAAGTAGGAGAGGTGGAGGAGAAGGCCTTGTGGTCTTCAGTAGTTTTTTGGAAGAGGAGAGAGTCGAAAGATAACTTTTTTTCCATTTGGTAGAGTAGAAGAAGTGAGCTTTTTTCATGGCTATAAGTAATAGAGATTGGATTGGGAGAGTTTTATTCTTAATTAATCAGTGGTGAAATTAATATTAAAAAAATATTTATATAATTATGGTATTTATACAAAAAAATTAATAAAATGATATAATTTTTTTTTTGAATGAAAGGGAAGAAATGAAGAGATGTGCGGGGTAATAAATAGAGGTTGGAGTTATCGGTGAGCATTTACTTCAGCCATTAATGGTGATAGGGAACATACAATTAAGGAGAGTTAGATATTTTGTCTATGGATTTCTTGCTTGCTATGTGATAGATTTGCTCGGTTCGGATGCTTAGGAAGATTGAATAATAAGGTTGCTGAGAATAAACAATGGATGGTTCAACAACCAACGTTCGATGCATTCAGGAGTTTTTTTTTTTCTGATTAATTAGTGGTTCAGGTTTGCTGAGAGTTAATGATTTGAAGAAGGTAGACTAAACTAAATTTGTAGAAGAATTAGCAAAGCCGAGGGCTGAGCAATGGTTAGCGTGTTCACGGGGTTTGGATGGGTATAGATCACCTTTCTGCTTATTTTTTTTATTCAGGTTTGAACAGGAGAAGTAATTTCAAGGCATTGGTTTCAAGATAGAAATTAGGTTAGAATATCTTGATTTTTCTTTTAAATTTCAAATTCACTTCGTAGTTCATTTTTTATGTATTCAAAACTCACACGTATTTGATCGAATGCCAAAGTATCATAAAACCTATATATGCTCTTGTCGTGGCCTCCGCCAGCCCATCACCAGGCCAAGCTAGCGTTATCGCTGCCAACTGCTCACTGCTTGTCGCCGTTGTAGCTGGCTGCTGCACACCACAATCGTTGAGATTTACAGTGTATTTATTTTATTTTAAACAAAAAAATTTCAAAATTTGTTTTACACTCATTTAAAAATTCTAAATATTTTAAAGACATTGAGTTTCTTTTTTTTTTTATATAAATCAATGGTTCCCTTAATAAGAAATAAATATATTGTTATGTTTTAGTATTTATTATTTATAATTGGCTTGTTATCTAATAATAATATATATTTTAGGCATTGAATTACTCACTTAGATTAATGTCATGCTACTTTTTTTATGAAACATGTTTGAGTCTTCCAACATTTTAGGTAGGAATCTTAGCAAATAATTTTATGTTTTACTCTGTAGTATCAATACAGTATATCGTGCACTGCAACTTAGCACAACTCAGCAAAATCTAAGAAAGAACAGTAGTAGTGTCCTCCCAAAGTAGACTAGTTGCTTTGGAGAGAGAGAGAGAGAGAGAGAGAGAGAGAGAGAGAGAGAGAGAGAGAGAGAGAGAGGGAGAGGGAGACTGTCAAGCTAAACGTGTAATTGAAGAACAAATCATGAGGTTAAGTGAACCCACTTACAGATTTAATTTAGTTGAGTACAGTGCTGTTTTTATAACATAATCTATATAAAAAAACAAGATTTGCTAGTGGAGGTTTGAAAATTGTCGCAATTTTGTTAACTGCATTAGTTTTTACCATTTTTAATTCATAATATTTGACAAACTTATCATATAGAAACCATAAATATCATTGGGACAAATTCTTTTTGTATCGCCTAGCACCTAAGACTGGGGACGGATCCGACTTCTTTTTTTAGGGTGGGCATTTTTTTTTGTGGGGGATTGGCAAAGATGCTTATAATTGATAAAAGAAGTGCAAAAAAGATTTTTAGGGGGGGGTGGCCCTTGATGGATCCGTCCATGCCTAAGACCCCTTCCTCTTCAAAAAAATTTCTTTTCATAATGTCCTAGTCGAACCACACATCGTGCAATCCCCCACGTACACTAGATGTTGCTTTTGCCATACATTTGGTCATCATCATCAAAGTTCTTGACGTGGGATCTATAAAATCATGATTGTGAAGGTAACATAAAGGTTATATGAGTAGTGAGAAAAATGTATTTTAGGGGTTTTTTTTTTTTTGATAAAAACACATATAATGACCTACGTGTTAATTCAAAAAACTGATTACAAGACTTTAAATGGATAAAAAAATCATTGATGCTTAGATAACACAATAAAAAACAAAAGAAACCTAAATATCCAATGATCACTACTATGACACAATATATATATAAAAAAAAAGAAAATGCAAAAAAATAAGAGGGGGGTGATAAGGAACCCCACCCAAAAAATAGCCCCAGCTGAAATTAACTTTAACGCACATTCAGGAACCAACATTAGTGCAAGCAAAAAAAAGAGGAAACACAAGCGAAGAAAGAACACAAAGTGGAAATAGAAGAAAATTATAAATCAATAAACCAACATGCCACAAACGTCATAGGAGGCACCAAAAGAAGCATCAGATAATCAGAGCAAGTAGGGAACCAATAGCAGACCTACAACAAAAAAGAAAAATCAAACCAACACCCAACCCTCCAAGAACAACAACAAACAGATAAACAGAACTAGCACAAGATGAACCACCTCATAACACACAAAAATAGTAAAAGAATCAGAGACAAAAGAGAGGACCCATCACCCCAAAAGGAACAAACAAGGACCAAAGAGAAACCCCTAGCAATAAAGGGAGACACTCACAGAGAACCCACTGCCAAACTAAAGCAATAGGTCCAAAACAGACACTATGCAAAATAAAAGGAGCCAACAATATCCAAACAACCATTTAAAACAGAAAGCACCAAAGATAAATTAAGAAGCCACAAAACCAATGGTAGAGCACACCCTTCGTGGCACTACCTTAGTATCAACCCAACATTTTATTCCATAAGGTTATATGCTTTCTTCCCTTATAATCAAAATTCTAGATTTGACCTTTCCATTAGGTCAACACAAACTGCACATATTAGGGGTCTATTTGTTGACCTCTTTTCTGTATGAGGTCATAAGAGTCCATCCAGACTCCTGCCTATTGATCTTATGGTTGATAATCATCATTACCGGAAAATCATCAATTACCGGCGGATTTTTCTGGCAGCTTACTGGCGGACAATTTTCTGGCAGCTTTCCGATGGCTTTCCGACGGCCTAATGTTTCTAAAAAATTACCTGCGGCTTTTTGGTGGCTTTTCCTAATATAATTTATAATTTTGATTAATTTTTCTGGCGACTTTAATTAAATAAAATTTCTTAGTTAATTTTAATTAATAATTAATTTAATAACTTAGTCTAAATAATTATTAATTTAATACCATATTTAATTAATTATTAACTTTAATATTTTATTTTTTATTTTAAATTATAATTTTCATATAATATAGTTTAAATAAAAAATAATAAGCATATTAACACATTTTCCCTCACAACGTAATGGTTGTGCGGAGTTATATTTAGCAAACTTGACTTGGTTCGAATCTCAGGCTAGACGTGCGCCTGGGCAGCAGGCGGGCAGCCAGTCAAGCAGGGCAACACGGGCAGCGATCTGCGGGCAGGGCGGGAGCTCGGGTGGGCAAGGCGGGAACTTGGGCAAGAAGCACGGGCAAGCCTCCTAGTGGGCAGCGGGTAAGGCGGGAGCTCGGGCAAGAGCTTGGACAGGCAGTGCAGGTAGGCTTCTTGGCGGACAGCTGGGCAGGGCGAGGGTGGCTAGGCAACGGGCAGGTTTTTTTTTTTAAATTAATTTTTGATATTTTCCGACTGGTTTTTTCCTCCAAAAAACGTGACCCCAAAAAATACCGTAACAAAATTTTTTCCTACGCGTGTTTTATCGGTGGCAAATTTGTCGTTGAAAATTTATAAAATTGCCAGAAATTGATCATTTTTCGCCGAAAAATGTCGCCGATAAACGTTAATGTTCCTCTAGTGCATCCATATGTCAATCATTTAGAGCTCAATCAAATTCCAATCCACACTTCAATTCAATCTTTAATTCAACCTTCAACCCAACCTCCAACCAACCTTTAATTATTTTTCAATCAAACTTCAATAAAGACTTCAATCAATATTCTATCAATCTTCAATCAAGCTTTAAGCATATTTAATTATCAACAATCATCCAATTGAATATGATTGAGGTCGATACATCAAACTCAAGCAACCAAATCCAATGTTTAATTCAAATCAAGAATTCCAGACCAAGATTCAAGGTTAAGAGCCTATGTACTATAATCCTTTCTATGTGATTTTTCAAACACCTCAAAATCCAGTCAAATGACCTCCAATTCATGATCTATAAATTGAATTTTTATTAGGCATATCCCTAGGGTCAATCATCCAAATTTGAGTTTATTCTGACACTTCTAACCCTTGAAATTTAATTGAAACCCAAATGTTGCAAAACCTTTAAATATTTACAGCTATGCCACTAGACCTTCCACATTATGAAATTTTACCTTGGGACCTTCCCCAAAATCTTCAACCATGTCCATAGCTTTTTTATGACATGTTGAACATAAAATTGCACTTTGGTGGACCCAGGTTGACCCACAGTTCATAAGGAGCCTAAATGACCAAAATGTCCTTTAAGGAGAAAATTGAAATTTTCTACAAATCTCAACATGGCCCAATCAAATAAAACCTTGAAACCTCCTCTAATGCACCCTAAACATCATTAAGAGTGCATTAGACTCAAATTCCAGTCTCGATCAAGTATGGTTGACCAAGTTAAGTCATATTGACCAAATTGCCCTTTTAAGGGTCTAAATGGTCATTTCAACTCAAATGACCATTTCATTGCATGAGACTACCTCCATTGGTCTATAATCATCAAATCAAATTTTTTTGGACCCAAGTACAACTTTTGGTTTGACCTAATTGACTACAACCATGGTTGACCAGATCAATCATGAACCTCTATCCACACTCAATCAAGCTTCAAATCCACTCCAAGCCTCATCAAAACCTCATGATCACCTCCCATAGTGATTTGGACCTAATTGGTCCCTTTGATCCAATCAATAGTTGAGTTGGTCAATTAGACTTATGTCTAGGCAAACCCAATCAACATAGAGCTAGCTCACTATATGCAATCAAATCCAATCCATCCACGCTCTTCAAACCTTCAAGATCACTCAATTACATGCCTTGAACATCTTCAAATCTATC